GAGTTTGGATGGTAGTTGGGAGTTTCTTTGTAAGATGTAAGTACCACATCTCAGTGATACCCAAGTGGAGCATATAGAGAACTTTTTAAACCTCAAACATTTCTCCATCACTTGAAGACTAGTAAGAACATGTCTCAAAAGCAACAGTTATTGCTTCTTCAAGGCAAGGGAAAAATGACTATATCTCTGTTGCAAGCAGGCGGTATCTCCATTTTTCTGTGAGATATCCCTTGTTCTGTCGTCCAAGATGACAACACTGGGGATTTCTGATTTCGTCCTGCAGATGCAGAGCCCGGCAGGCCGTGGGCTGCCCTGTGCTTCTAGGCAGGCTGCAACCCAACCTGCACACGTGCAGCACGGGCAGAGCTCCGGGCTGCCTTGCTCCCAAGGGACCCCTCTCCTGCAGGGTCACGTAACTGAAAAACAAAATAGCTAGCAGAGAGAGTTGTGTGATTTTCTTATGGTTATATTTTAAGCTTTATACACTACTACAGTTTGCATTTTTTCCTTATGTCCTGAAATGCTTTTATTTTCCTCGCAGCAAAAAAACAAAACAGAATCAAAGCCCTCCTCCACAACAGAAGCCTCTCACCTTAGCCTACGACGGCGACGTGGACATGTAACAGGAAAAAAGAAGCCCAAACGTAGACATCCACTGCCTTAACTGCTTTCTTTTTTTGTAAGTCGCAGACTTCTCAGTTTTTTGAGGAATCTCCTGATGTGTAATATGCTGGGCAGAACAGAAAGATGGCAAACCTAGACTGTTGCCACCTCTTACAAAAAAGAAAAAGAAAGAGTCAAAGACTTGGATCCTGTGAAAGAGTGCTGAAGGAACCAGAAAACACATCTCTTCCTGTTGAGCAATGGGAATATAAAATAAAAATCTACAGACGTCAAAAGGCATTACTAAAAATAAATAAAAAGGCATGACAATCCTGAGGAAAATGTGACATTTATTGTAAATGACAAGTTTGACACAGCATCATTATGCACTATATTAGTGCAGGGCTCTTTATTCTTCACATATTTCAACAATGAGTTTTCTAGTGTTTACATTTCGTTCGAAAGACTTTAAAACTGGATCATGCATTTTGAGGACCACAAAGAAGAATGAGTTGAAGTGTCTGAAATTATCAGTTTTTTTAAAGTTTATTGCTTCTTATCCTGTTTTCTAGTCTGGAATATGATTTTTGTTTCATTTCCACCTATAGGACAGAATAAGGATTGGTATGAAAAAGCCTACGTGGTTTCTTAACTGAAAATATTTTTGAAAGAGTTGAGTAGATGGGTGTTTTGATGGGTGGCTAAAGGACTTGATTGTTTGAAAAGTATTTTGAATTAAATTAAACCATGTAGATACATTATGGCCAGTTTAAATTGTTATTCAGTTTAATTAATACAAACTCTGCTTTTGTATTTAAATTTTCTTATCTGAAATATTTATAAATTCTTTTTTCAAATTTAATTACCTGACCTCATTTAATATACATCTAACACAAATACTGTTTGTAGAAGGTCTTGCTTTTTTAAATGTTTCAAAACTGCTGAAAAGCTACATATTGTAAACATCTGGGAACATTTGAAGAGGATAAGTGTTTATAATAGTACATGTTGCAAGTAAGAAAGTGCCATCTTGTGGTATTGGCTTGTATTTATAAGCAAATAAAATGCTAAGGAGAGTGAGAATATTGCTTCTGGTATATTGAATTAAATGTGTGCAAACAACATTATTAGTGTTTTACTGCGTCTGAAATTGGCCTCTGTTCTCATACAGTCTGGGGGGAGTCTGTGCTGTATTGAGTAGTAAAAGAAGTTCAGAAAATAATTGCAGACCTGGAGAGTGTTTGGTCTAGGTTTTGTGTTTCAGTGAAGAAGGCTGGTGGTCTAGAGATCATCGGGTCCTCCTGGGTAGGCAAACTGGGAGGGAAAAGGGTTACAAACCCAATTTCCCGAGGTAGATGTTCTGCTAGCCCCACTTTCTTCTGCAGAACGAGAGCTGCTTATGGGTTACCAAGCAGGATCAAGTATTTTTCAGTAACTTTGGTGTTCTAACACCCCTTTATTCCTCCTGTGCTGAACCTTGGATTAACATGTATAGGCTGAGAGGTACAAGAAGAATGTTGCCAGATCTTAATATATGTCTGTTTCCTGTGGACTAGGATGTGAGGAGAATACTTCTCTGAGAATAACAAAGAAACAAACTCCATTGTAAGCTGTTCAAAAAAGCATGGGAAAGTAGGGACAATGATACAAAAAATGGTAGCTGCAATGTGTGATCATTGCCCTCCATATCAACAAATATTGAAGTCCAAATGATGCTTTTCTCTTCCACGGGCCAGCCCGAGAAGTGAAAACATTAGTGGGCTTGGAGAACCACTGAAGTGCCCTGATTTATACAAGGTTGCTGCATTGCAAGGGCCTTATTTTTAATCCTGGCGGAGCAGTATCCATTGGAGCTGCTCTGTCCTGAGAGCAGGGATAGCCCCGGGATGTTGCAGGAGATACATCTCAACTGAAGACCCAATGGTTGCTGAAGAGACATAACTCAAGGCACTGCCCACAAAACCGGTCCAGTTCTGCAGGGGACAATTGTTGCTGATAATATTGAAGAGTTTCATGTATGTGTGTAGCACCTTTGTCTGTATGTGCAATATACACTGTGTTTTACATGATGTGGGATAGATAATTATTTATATGAGAATGTTAATATGCAACGCAGAACTGCAGAGCTTCATAATTTAGAGCCAGAAATGATCGTTCATGAAAATTTCACAATGTAATTGCAGGTATTCGATAACTGGGGATTGAATGAAGCTGTGAAATTGAGCTGAGGAGCTTGTGGTCCTGCAGGATCAATGAGACTGAGAATGTAACATAATTCAGAAAAAGGCATTGGATATTTAGACAGGTACCAAGATTATTGCTGCTTGTAAGAGCCCTGCATAAATGTGCTGAAAAGGATACTCAGCCCTTAGAGCATTTTTTTTAAAGCACAGAGTTGATTCTTGCATTTTAGTGTCCGGAGTGAGTCATGACATGAAAGAGGATTAATCCCAAATGTTGCCTGCTCAATGTTTCCTAAACTTTGTGCCAAAGGAGCTAGTGCTGACCGCTGCTGCAGCTAGGAAGGAGGTCTTGGTCTGATGCAGCAAGGTAATTCCTCCACTCCTGAGCAGGTCATCCCTTTAGGAGAGTAGCCTGATTGTGTTTAACAGAATCTAATGATGAAGAGGTTGCCAAATGTCCTGGCAGTCTGTTTTGGTAGTTAATAAGCATCAATAGAGGAGTATGCCCTTACTGTGTCATACTTCTAGTTTCAGCACTCACTGATTTCAGTGCCCGCTACCAGATGTTTCCTATCTCTGTATTACAGCTGTGAAAGATGCAACTCTATCTGAAAGCCTGAGATCTTTCTTCTGTGGGATTCTCTCTTCGGCAGGGAAGTAGAATAGCACCAACTGCAGTAAAATGCCAGAAAACAAATTACCAAGAAGTGCTGAAGTGTTGTGTGCCTGCATAATTCATGCAATTGTTTAAATTATGCTTAGAAATAGGACATTTGCATGCACAGGTACCACATCTATGCATATGCTTGCGACTAAATGCTTGGAGCAGCTGGGCTTTTATGGGAGGTGTGTGCCATCAAACTCTGTTTCTCCAGGAGAAACCGCCTCAAGTCGTGGAGAGCTTGGTGCTGCGTGAGCAGGGTGGGATGCCAGCCACGCTCCTTCCCTGCCTCCGGGCTCTGCTTTACTGCGGAGGAAGGAGGTAATTTTCTTTGCCCTGGTAAGGGGCTGCTGTAAAACTTCCTCCAAGACGAGGTAGGTCAAGACCTGTGAGTCAGTTTGTGCTCATATCTGTAAGAATATCCTAATTGTGTAATTCTCTTTGCTCAAATATATCTGCATTCCTGACCAGTTTCATAAAAAGCTATACTATCTCTCTTGGAAGGAAAGGGTTAAACACTTCATTTTGGTTTAGTCCTGGCAAGTATAAAGTTATCTTTAGAGACCAGCTCATTTGCTGTTAACATAGCATAGCTGGTTTCTTGAAAGAGTTATTTTTTAACTCATATGCAGCTTAGTTTCCCCTGTGAACAGAAGGAGACGTAGTTGAACGCAACGTCAGGGGTTGTCTTCATTTGGGAAGCAGTAATGCAGAAAAGAAACAATGCAATTCAGGACTTGGAAAAGATGGAGCGGGATACCGGCCGTGCCAGCTTGTCTCTGGACAGATTAAGATTCTGTCTGATTTAAAGCATTATTTAAAAGAATGAGGTGCCGCTGTTACAGGCGTGACACGCTCCTGCCCCGGACAGATGCGTTTGGGTGTTTTTAGTGGTCTAGAAACTTTTATTTGGTGTGAAGTTACCTTAAAGAAGACTGTCTAATGCCGCTGGATAACTAGGACTAGAAAGACGAGGGCAATCACACATATCCTGATGTGGCCCAGGGGCTCTCCTGCTCATACAGATGGGTAAAGCGCACGCAGCAGGTCTTCAAGCAACAGCTCACAGGACTTCATGCAATAAACCGGAGGAATTTACCCAAACTATTATTAAATAAATGGAATTGCATGTAGTCTTTGCTTGTTCCTTCCTGCAGGGGTGAAGGAAAGAAAAACCTCACGAGAAAATCTAATAGCACAGGACTCCCCTGTCCCTTGAACTGGTTTATTATTTGGCCGCACTTTGTAATCTGGTTACATTTACACCTGAGGAGGAAAGAATGGGTTAGAATGGTTAGTTATAATGGTAATCATAGCTACAGGATGCTTCCTGCATGAATTTTTTAATATACAACCTTTTATCTTCCAATCTAATATAGTTTGTTCTTGTTTTAAAATGTAAGCAACGTTCATCGGTCACATATGAAATGTCTCAGGAAAGAATCCCAAGCCCCCATATTTGCACTGGCTGGTAATTACGCTCATTTGCTTTGATTACATGCTTTGTTACAGAGGGTGTAGAACGGACTGTAGGCAGAGACGTGGGTTAAAACAGTTCATGGGATTTATCCCATCTGTGAAGAGATGTTTTGATAGAACGAAAAATCAGGTGCAATTTCCCCTGATAAAGAATGTTAATTTTCTCTTCTGCTTTATGAAAGTTCACCTGCATGTTATGAATATTGTAGACATGCGATGCCAAGATGACATTTGGACAAAGGACCCTTCAAACATAATAACAGTGAAAAATCTTCAACAGAAAGCAGATGAAGTGGGGCCCCAAGCAGTAATTCTGAGTCTGAAGGCGGTGGGTTTTGCAGGGTGGGCAGGGTGCAGTCTGGTTTCTGCAGGAAGCCCCTCGTGACCAGGCTTCAAGGAGCTTTTCTGCAGAAGAGGCAGCAGGGCAGGGTGGCTTTCCTTCGCCATTGCAGCCAGCTTCTTGTCAGCTCAGTTCTGCACGTTGCATTTCGCGGGCATTAACTTGCAGATAAGGTCTCTGATCTCTTGTAGCATCAGGCAAAACCCTACCCGGAGAGGGCAGAGGAGGGGAATGTCTGATAAAATCTGAATTGCGGACCAAAAGCTGTGGTGCAGATGTGTCACATCACAGTTGTTTGTCATTCTGTTCCTTTCTACAATGTGGCCTATCCACATCCATTTTTTTCCTGTGTAGTTTCTATTACTGCAAAGCAGTACCTGGAAGTAGCTGCTGGCACTTCCTGCCAAATTATTTTTTTACTCAATTTGTTGCTGCAACTGCTGTCTTCTTGTGAGAAGTAGGTTTGCACGGACTACTCGAGTAATTCTGTGCTTTCCTCATGATTAGGGTCTGTCATAATTTTCCGCTCTCTGTCAACTTTCTCACCAACACCTGTATTGATGAGCTGATGGGAGCAAAGCCAGATGTAGCAGAGAGGAGCACAAATCCATCCACAGCGCTCATCAGGCTGCAGGGAGGCCAAAAGGACTGACTTACTCTGCCTGTGTTGCCCCAGTATATATAAAAGGGATCATTTCTGACCAAAGGAAAAAAAAAAAGAAAAAAAAAGGAAAGAAAAACCTTTCAGTTTTGTAAAGTTGTGCAGTATTTTTAATATATTGGAAGAACACTGTCTAGATACGAATCGACCATCTCAAAGGTGAGACTGATGGATCCCCTTTGCAGTTCCTGCTTCACATCCCCATGATTTAATATTGCAGAAATCAAAAGACTCGATGAACTAGCACCTCTGCTTACAAATCACTAGGGGTGAGTCTCCCATATAATAAAAACCGTAATATTTTTCCATTTAATGGTTGAGCTTTTACTCTTCATCTGATTTCTAGACCCATGAAATTTGAGGAACTTTGAAACCAGAAAGCTGCAGGTCTCCTGTGGTTGCATGAAGCTTCTGTGGCCTCATGAAGAAGAATATGCTCAATTTTCAAGTCAGCAAGGATGCTAAATACACACGTGCCCACCCACATGGGCAGTTACATCTCCTCACTTGGTGGCACGTGTGGGGTGTCTTCTGTTGGCTTCTGCTGAGCAAAGCAGGAGGGTCAGCACCAGCTCTGCTCTTGGTGTCACTTCTCAGGCACTGCAGGTAGGACTGGTAACACCTAACGTAGAGGGAACAAAAAGCCGTAACCCGTATCCAGACGGACTCCACGGCCGGTGACACCAGTGGGGACAAGGTGGCTCCTGTGGGTGTTAGCAGTGGGACCCGGATGCACACAGGGATAACTGGGCCAATGCTAGGAGCTCTAGGAGAAAATCTCCCCA